AATTGTGTTATATAAAAATAAAATAAATACAGGATTAAAAGATTTTCTCACAAAATACAAATCAATCCTCATGGCATGAAATATTTGAAAGTATATTATATACTATGTTTGAACTCACTTGATATTTGTAACTTCTATCCAGGCAGTTGATGTCTGTGTAGGAAGTCTGTCTTGAGCTAGAAAAGGTTGTCTGAAAATTACCTTTTTCTGTCTTTTTTTGTCCTTTTTTATGTCAGATAATCTACAATGGTTATGAAATGAACCTTAGTCCCTCCCTGCCTTGGAGAGGAATGTTGAAAGCATGTGGGAAGAGTGCAGGCAGTTAGAAGTTTGGCCTTTAAATGCCTAATAATAGCTATCGATGATTAAACACTTTACCATGAATCCGTACTGATCAAAGCACTCTTCATGAATTAAGTTCATCTTCTCAATAAACCTATTATATATATATATATATTATAATGACATATATGATTATTTAATTTTACAGATGAGAAAATTAATCTCCAGAAATTAGTCACAAAACTAGTTAAATGGTGGAAATTTGATTAAAATCTAAGTAGTTAAAAGTAAATTCAGGCTTTCCTATCAGATCCATCTCGGCCAACAATGAAAACAAATAACAGAAAAAGTAAGCATAGATACTAACTTTAGGTAGGGAGGGATGATATTTAAAACATCCACCAATGGATCAACTCAGGCACTAATTCTGACTAATCAGAATGGTTGTCAGTTTTGTGTAACTGGCATGATATACTAGTGTGAACTGTATGAACACCAGCTTTGACTTTTTAAGGAAAAAAATTAATTTGAGAAATATATTACTTTATGTCTTCAAAGGAAAATCGACTCAGTGGAAATCTTACAAGCCAGGAGATACTGGGGGCCTATTGTAAGTATTCTTAAATAAAAGAAATTCCGACCAGGAATTTCTTGTCCCACCAAACTTAGGCTTCATGAGCAAAAGAGAAAAAAAATTTTTTTTCCAAGCCAACAAGTGCTAAGGGAATTTGTTACCACTAGACCAGGTTTACAAGAGATCCTTAAGGGAGTTCTAGACATGAAAACAAGGATGTACTTAAGTACCTAGCCCACCAACCCTTTTAAAGAACCACAAAATAGAAACTATAAAGCAACCAGCTAACGAGTTCATGATAGGATCAAAGCCTCATGTATCAATATTTACCGTGAATGTAAATGGTCTAACCATCCCACTTAAAAGGCACAGAGTGCCAGTTGAATAAAAAAATAAGACCCATCTCACATGTAGCAATCATAGGCTCAAAGTAAAGGATTGTAGGAAGATCTATCATGCAAATGGAAAACAAAAAAAGGGCAAGGGTTGCTCTTCTTATATCAGATAAAACTGACTTTAAACCAACAACAAAAAGTAAAAAAGGACAAAGAAGGACATTACTCTCAAAACCACACAATTGCATGGAAATTAAATAACTTACTCCTGAATGACTTTTGGATAAACAACAAAATTAAGGCAGAAATTAATGAAAACAAAGATACAACATACTAAATTCTCTGGGAAGCAGCAAAAGCAGTGTTAGGAGAAAAGTTTATAGCATTAAATGCCTACCATAAAAAGTTAGAAAGATTTCAAATTCGCAATCTAACATTACACTTAAAAGAACCAGAAAAACCAGAAGAAACTAACCCCAAAGCTAACACAAGAAAAGAAATATTTAAAATCAGAGAAAAACTGAATGAAATTGAGATGCAAAGATTTATACAAAAAAATCAATGAAACAAAAAGTTGGTTCTTTGAAAGGATAAACAAGATTGATAGACCACTAGCTAGGTTAACAAAGAAAAAAGAGAAGACTCAAATAAGTACAATCAGAAACGACAAAGATGACATTACAAGTAATCCCACAGTAAGGCAAAACATCCTCAGAGACTTTATGAACAACTCTATGTACACAAAATAGAAAATCTAGAGGAAATGGATACATTTATGGAAACATATAATCTCCCAAGATTGAATCAAGAAGAAATTGAAACCATGAACAGACCAATATCAAATTCCAAGATTGAATCAGTGGTAAAAAGCCTACCAACCAAAAAAACCTCTGGATCACATGGATCCACAGCCAAATTGTACCAGACATACAAAGAAGAGTTGGCACCAATTCTACTGAAACTATTGCAAAAAAAAAAAAAAAAAAAAAAAAAAAATGAGGAGTGGCTCCTCTGTAACTCATACTACAAAGTCAGCATCACCCTAATACCAAAATCCGAAAAAGACTCAGGGAAAAAAGAAATGTAAAGGCCACTATCTCTGATGAAGATAGATGCAAAAATCATCAACAAAAATACTAGCAAACTGAATCCAACAGCATATCAAAAAGTTAATTCCCCATGATCCAGTAGGCTTCATTCTGCAAATGCAAGGTTATTTCAACATATGCAAATTGATAAATGTGATTCATCATATAAACAGAATTAAAAACAAAAACCATATGACTATCTCAATCTATGCAGAAAAAGCTTTTGACAAAATCCAGTATCCATTCATGATAAAACCAACAAGAAACTAGGCATCAAAGGAACATACCTCAAAATAAGAGCTGTCTATGACAAACTCACAGCCAACATCATACTAAATATGAAAAGCTGGAAACACTCCCCCTGAGAACTATACCAAGACAAGGCTACCCATTCTCACTACTCCTATTCAACATATTACTGGATCCTAACCAGAGTAATCAGGCAAGAGAAGGAATTAAAAAGCATCCAGAGGATGAGGCAGGTGGATTACTTGAGCCCACGAATTTGAGATCAGCCTGGGCAACATGGGGAAACTCCATCTCTATGAAACAACAAAAAATTAGTCACGGTGGCACCCAGCTAGTTATTGTAGTCCCAGCTACTTGGGAAGCTGAGAGGAGTATGGGAGGCCAAGGCTACTGTGAGCCATGATCACACCACTGCACTCTCGCCTGGGTGACAGAGCGAGATTCTGTCTCAAAACAAAACACAAACAAAAACAAATCATCCAAATAGGATAAGAAGTCAAACTATCTCTCTTTGAGGATAATGTAATTCTACACCTAGAAAACTTTAAAGACTGCCAAAAGGCTCCCAGAACTGATAAATGACTTCAGTAATGTTTCCGGATACAAAATCAGTGTACAAAAAATGAGTAGCATATTTATATACTGATAATGTTCAAGCTGAATGCCAAAACAAGATCACAGTCCCATTTACAGTACACACACACACACACACACACACACACACAACCTAGGAATACATCTAACCAAGGAAATGAAAGACCTTTAAAAGGAGAACTACAAAACACTGCTAAAAGAAATCATAGATGACAAACAAATGGAAAAACATTTCATACTCATGGACTGGAAGAATCAGTATCATTAAAATGGCCATACTGCCCAAAGCAATCTACAGATTCAATGCTATTCTTATGAAACTACAAATGTCATTTTTCATGGAATTAGGAAAAGCTACTCTAAAATCCATGTGGAACTAAAAAAGAGTCCAGATAGCCAAAGGAATACCAGGCAAAAAGAACACAGCCAGAGGCATCACATTACTTGACTTCAAACTATACTTACTATAAGGCTACAGTAACCCAAACAGCTACAGGCACAAAAACAGATATGTAGACCAATGGAACAGAATAGTGAACCCAGAAATAAAACTGCACACCTGTAGCCATCTAATTTTTGACAAAACTGACAAAAATAAGCATTGGGGAAAGGAATCTCTAGTCAATAAATGGTGCTGGAATAGCTGGCTAGTGATATGCAGAAGAATGAAGCTGGATCGTTACCTTTCACCATATATAAAAATTAATCAAGATGGATGAAAGATTTAAATGTAAGACCTCAAATAAAGAATCATAGAAGAAAACCTGGGAAACACTATTCTGAACCTCAGCAATGGCAAAGAATTTAGGACTAAGTCCCCAAAAACAATTGCAATAAAAACAAAAATTGACAAGTAGAACCTAACTAAACTAAACTGCTTCTGCACAGCAAAAGAAGCTATCAACAGAGTAAATAGACAACCTGCAGAATGGGAGAAAGTATTTGCAAATTATGCATCAACGATCTAGTACTTAGAATCTATAAGGAACTTAAACAGTTGAACAAGCAAAAGCAACCCTGTTAAAAAATGGGCAAAAGACATGAAAAAAACATATCTCCAAAAAGACATACAGGTGGCCAATAAATACATGAAAAAATGTTCAACATCACAAATCATCACAGAAATGCAAATCAAAACCACAATGAAATACCATCCCACACGAGTCCGAACGGCTATTACCAAAAAGTCATAAACCAACAGATGCTGGTGAGGCTGTGGAGAAAAGGAAATGCTTATACACAGTTGATGGATATGTAAATTCTCTCAGTCACTGTGGAAAGCAGTTTGGAGATTTCTGAAAGAACTTCAAAGAGAACTACCATTACTGGGTATATATCCAAAAGAAAACAAGTTGTTCTACCAAAAAGATACATGCACTCTTACATTCATTGCAGTCACAGTAGCAAAGATGTGGAATCAACCTAAGTGCTCATCAATGATGGACTGGATAACGAAAATGTGATACATATATACAATGGAATATTATACACCCATAAAACAGAATGAAAATATGTTCTTTGCAGCAACATGGATGCAGCTGGAGGCCATTATTCTAAGTGAATTAACACAGGGACAGACAACCACGAATTGCATGTTCTCACTTCTAAGTGGGAGCTAAACTCATGGACATAAACAGGGCAACAGTAGAAACTGGGGACTACTAGAGAGGGGAAGGAAGGAGAGAGCAAGAGATGAAAAACTATTGGATGCTATGCTCATTATATGGGTAATGGGGCCATTTGTACCCCAAACCTCAGCGTCACACAATAGACCCCGATAACAAACCTGCATCTATATCCCCTGAACTAAAATAAAAGATGAATAAATTAAAAAAAAAAAAGCTAATTGTAAACATTGTATGAAAAAATAAAAAGAGTCTGGCCAGGGAGATGCAGCTCTTAGAGGTCCAGCTAAAAACCTGTTTTCAAAGTTGCTGGATGAAACACAAACGGCAGATGCAGGACTCCCAGCTGAACCGCCCCTTCTCAGGGTCTCTCCAAGAGCCCCCGGCTTTCTACTCACCGTCTTCTGGCCTTGCTAATGGCCTGCAGCTGCTGTGCCCTTGGGCACCCCTGCCCCGCATAGGCTCTGGTGCTACCCTCTGGATCCTTCTGGGGTCTCTGCCAAGTGGAATAAGAGGCCCTGGCCTCTGCATGGGCTTCTGGCCGTGGTCAGACTCTGGCATACCATCCCCAAGCCCAGGAAGTGGTGCGCATATGTTGGGACCAGCCCTGTCCATGGGGCCCTGGGGCTTGTGTGCTCTGCCAGAGACAGGGGATTCACCTTGAGGGAGCGCCTCTGACTCCATTCCTCCCACACAAGCGGTCTGTGCAGATTGCACCTGGTGCCTACTCAGAGGACTCAGCTGTTCTGTTTACATCTTGGCGGCACCTCTCACCCTGACCCACGCAAAGGTTCTGGAGATTTCTGGAGAATATATTTATTTAAGCCACCTCTTCACTGAAAGTTACCAAAAGTGTTGGTTTAAGAAGTAAATGAAGGGTCAGTGAACAGAGTCAAACGCAGAAGTGGGCTTGTTATGGACAGGGCTTTCAGCATATGATAAAAAGATAATTTGTTTTAAAAGTGTTGGAAAAACTGGTTTTCCAGTTGGAAAAAGTAAAGGCTGAAGGTTTGTGTGTAGAAAAGAAAACCATGAAGGACTGGAAGGGAATGCAGGTGTCGTGTTTATAACTTTGTGGATGGAGTATCTCTTAGCAAGGACTCCCAAGTCGGAAAGCAGGAGGGAACAAAGGTGAAAATTAAGGCAGGGCGTTGGGACCTTGCAGTGCGCTCTAGTCCTTGAGTGAGCTGGGGACTGTGCCCGCAGCTTCCTGGGGGCTGCTCTTCTCCAGCCAGGGTAAACGGGGCGGCCAGGACCTGCAGCTGGGCCTGGACTGAAGCTGTCCCGCATGTCCCCTCCCTCCAGCATGTGCTTACCTGTCCCCCTCTTCGTAGCAGTCTTGGGACAAAACAGAATGACTCAAGCACAGCACTTCCTGCAGAAAGTCCGAAAGTGCCCAGAATGGAAGGCTCGGAAGCCTCTCCCGGGAAGGACTCTCCCTCACTGATGGACCATTCTTGGTGCAGACTCCTGACTGCACGCACGGAACCTTAGACGAGCATGCATCCGTCCACATCGCCCCAGAGTGCCCAGGAGGCAGGCAGCACGGGCGCCCAGACAGACGGGTTGAGCCTTCAGGACTGCGAGGTGAGCTGTGAAACTGACCCAAGAATCCCAACAGGAGCAAAAGTGTGGGCCTGTGGTCTTATCCACAGCAAAGTTCCACTTTCTCCTTGCTAATTTCTGCATTGTTGGAAGAGTTTACAACTAGCATGTGATTTTATAACACAACCTCAGGTAAGAGTGTTGCAGCGGAGGAAAGAAGATTGATTAAATAACAGGAGCTCAGAAAAGACCAATCAAGTCCAATATATAAGGCAGGTGAGTTCGTTCTCTCACTACACACCTTGTTTAACTCTCAGATACTTATCAGCAAAATGGCATGTTTTAAAGAACTATTTGAACCTGTTCTTCCCCAAACAATGCTGCATTCCTTGCTGGCACTATGAGCCAGTGATAGTCACGCTTGAGATGGTAAAAACTGTCTAAAAGTAGCCCTGCCCTTCTCTAAATCCATCACAGCACCTGTCAAGGGAGGATTAGAATACATTCTTGTTTGAATTCATTTCATTGATTTTGTGTCTGTTTGGTATTATGTAGGTAATAGGATAATGGGTCTGTATGGGAGATGCACCTGATAGCAGTAACGTAAGCGTATCCTAGAATAACCCTTATGGCAGACACACCTGAATGGAATTTGGAATTCTGAGGTAAGGAGTCCAGGATTAGCCAACCCAGAGATTCATTACTTGTCTGTGATAAACATCTGAACCCACGGTCTGTCCCGCAGAATGCAGTCCGTGTGGGGAATTGAGGCCCTTTGTTTTGGGTTGGATGAAGACTGCTGGGTGGAGGTTGTTAGGAAAAGGGTGCATGCTTTTTGCAAGCAGTTGAAGATCTTTTGCCCAGCCTGCTGCCACTGAGCCATGTGGTTCTGCTGTCCAGCCCACTGCCACTAGACTGTGCCTGTAGGTAAGTTTCCTGCTAATAAAACCCTATGTCTCATTTGCTGGTTCCAAGCCTCCTGTTTGGCCTCTTGAAACTGGTGCTATTCCTACTGAAGTTAATAGGGGTCTTGCACTACAGGGTTTAATGTTACAATAAGACAAAATATACTCTCCACCAAGAATCAAATGACAAAAAAGTTAATAGACTCCAATTTGGTGTACTCTGATAAACACACTCACATTTAATACTCTTTTACTGTTACAATAGCACATGCAAATATTCTCACTAAGGTTTTCTTCTGTTTCTCCTATAATGGAGAAAACAATTACCTCAGACACTTATTGCCTGAAATTTAATATTAAATCATAGCAGGAAATACATGTGGATCCTGGTCCTGGACCTGCTTCTGACAAGCTTTAAGTAGAACAGCTACTATATAAAACAGCCCTTACCTTAGGGAGCTGTGGGAGGGCATGATGATATCAAGCCCATTAAGACAGCACTTTCTTTCTGGAACAACAGAAATACTAAAATATTTAAAATTTCTATTTTCTTTTGACTCCAGGTAGTTTTTGAAAGTGCCAAAGTTCTTGAAGTTATACATACTTATTTGTGGAAAACGTTTTAGTTATCATTATTCTTAAAAGTCAGTTAATTGAGGCCAGGCACAGTGGTTCACATTTGTAATCCCAGCACTTTGGGAGGCTAAGGCAGGCAGATCAGTTGAGGCCAGGAGTTTGAGGCCAGCCTAGCCAACATGGTGAAACTCCATCTCTACTAAAAATACAATAATTAGCTAGGTGCAGTGGCGGGCACCTGTCATCCCAGCTACTTGGGTAGCTGAAGCAGAAGAATCGCTTGAACCTGGGAGGCAGAGGTTGCAGTGAACCAAGATTGTGCCACTGCACTCCAGCCTCGGCGACAGAGCAAAATCCTGTCTGAAAAAAAAAATCTGTTAATTGAAGAAGAAAGTGTTTTTATTTTTTGGAGGGAGATCAATGTCTTAAACATGTGGCATTATATAGCTATCATGAAGATGAACATCATGATTCACTTTGCTGTGGTGTGTCTCCTGTTTTTTTTGCCCAGAAGGCATATGTGAGGCCCAGTTTGGTGTGTTCCCCAGAACCCTAATCCTGTTATCATAGGAAAATTCTAGTTAAAATCTGAGAGACTTATTTTACTTTTATAGCTAATAAAGTACATTTCTTTGTTCATTAAATATTTTCTTATTCAGATTTTAGATAACTTTGTTGTTTTCTTAATGAAACAATAGACTCTTGCTTTTATGATTTTTTTTTTTTAACTCTTCTGATTGGTTTTCTCCCTACTAGCCAGTTTAAATAGACACTTCTTAGATGCTTAGATTTCTGACATTTTTATCTTCCAAATCAGAAAGCACCAACAAACCACAACAATCTGTTTCACCTGGAATCCAGTAACAGAAGGAAATGAGATACTATTTAACTATTATTACTGTGTGACTTTTAAAGTTTTAATGTTCTACTTTTGAATGCTCTTTGCTTGTCTAAAATTGCTCTGGGTTTAGATGGACAATTATCTGGGCTTATCTCTGGTGTAACATGTAATGAAAGCAACAGACAACAGAGGAATTCTGAGGAATTCTTGATTTAAGCCAAAACAGCTCGTGGAAGATAAAAACAGCAAACAAGGTGCACTGGAAGCGCCGTTTAACTTCATCAGGTTCTTGGCACCTGGTTTTTCAATTAATGCCGTTTCTTCAGTTTAGAAATAAATCACACACATTTTTGCTCTAGGAGCACTTAGAGAAAGAAGAATAGCATCACCCATCTCTAAAAATATTTCCCAGTGGATAAACTGTTAAGGAAACATGTTTGTGTTCACACTTCAAATAGAAATATTTACTATTCAGACTCTGTACTTGAATTTTTTTTAACATCAAGTAACTAAGTTGGCTTTTTGTGAAATGATGACCCAAATCAGGGCACTGGGTCTGTAAGACTTACATTCAGGGACTGTAAGACTTACAGTCATTGAAATGAGCTCAGAAGATTCTAGTTCTGTGGGTGTCTGGGCCGGTGGCATAGTTAATGTCGCTATTGTTCTTCCTTAGTTTGACTTATATTCAGTGTATATTTTATACAATTTTGGTTTTTAAAATGTTCATTTTTTTTTCGGAGAGACCACATATTTGGGGGTCTTTGATATAAACTAACTTGATGGCTCAGCTCACATAATCTTTACCAGGTGTCAACCAACCTCTTATTACGTGTGTCTATGTAAAATGGCCAGATATTAGGAAAGAGATAATGGGGAGAAACAATTTGTGGAGCCCTTTTGGATTTTGAGAGAGTGATTATCAAGAAGAAAATAGTGGCTTCAATGTAGAGAACAATCTTAGTTAAGATTTTTGGAGTAATGATATATCTTAATGTTTGGAAAACATTGGAAACATTTTTCATAAAAATTAAAATACTATCATATATTAATATTATAATCAAATCATTTATGATGTATAGGAATAAATGGCATGAATTCCATAGGTGCCAGAGATTTATTGAGTAATCAGAAAAAAATTAAAGAGTCTTAATATGACAACATAAGTCTTGCAAAAACAAATAGCTTAGTAGGAAGCAGGAATCCAGGCTATTTTTTATGCTGTCAATTCAAATTAAAAACAGAAATGAAATAAAGGGTTTCTGCCAAAATATATTATCACATATGGAAAATGAATTCACCTCCTCCTTCCTGGCCCATCAGCAACATGGAAAGTATTAACTTAAAACTTATTTCCCTTTTCCTCCATCTCTTTGAGCTGATAACTGAAATTCAATAGAGCTTTCTAATTAAAGAATAAGGTACTGGTAGTGAAACACTTCACCTAACTCAATAGATTTATGGAAATTTACTAAAAGTGATCATTTCACAGATCCTGATGCCAAGAATAGGTGACATTAGCCAGGTCTTTATCTTGAATGACTCTTCAAGATTTGTGTGCTTAGCCAAATTCAGACATGTTCTCCATGTTGTTGCATGCTACATTCTGATGCTTCACTTAGCATGACTGCATGCTCTATAAAAGAAGTGGAGAAGGCAGGGAAGAACACAAAAAGAGAAAATAAGGTATTTTCCCTCTGTTCTCTGTATGATAGCAATCTTCAGAATATCTTAAAATCATAAAATGTCAAAAGAATATTAGCATGAGGAAACCCAGGCAAGATGGAACTATGAGAGGAGAACTTATATTAAGTTCTGACACTTGTTTTCTCTTTAATACTCATATGTATCATGACTAGTGCCGTACAGTGGCAGTAAACAGTGTTTGTTGACTGAATAAATGCATAGCCAAACCACAACAAAGCACAGGCTTGTCTAACTCAATGAAGCAGCTGATGGTTGAATCAAATGCCTG